CAGCAGTCAAATGAACAACATGAAGTACTTGTGGAGGATGGAAGTAACATCTGTGTCCAAACATGCTCTGCTCCAATAAGCGTGTACGGTGAACGACACAAAACCGTGTCACTTAACCATAAACCACATACCGTAGGACTGGGCATAGGTGAACAACGCTAAGCTAAGTCCATTCCACAACCAGGCTTTCGCGCAACACGTGCCCGGCTGCTTGCTTCCAAAAACAATGCTGCTTCATGCATTATAATTTCTAATCGCATTTGGATTATGGTAACCAACAGGTTTGCCTTGGGCAAACAAAGTTGTGGCGATTATTGATTGTTGTTTTTGTTTTGTTGGTTGCAACCCTCTTGTACTCTGGAGCGTACGTATGTGGTTTAAACTGGCCGACTATTACCACTGCACACACAAACACACACACATAACACAGTCCATTGCAGACATATAACAATAAAAGAACTGCCTCTGTAGATTACTCATCGTGTCATAACTGTTGAATGGCGGAGTGTAGTACACTCCATTGTTACACCCTTCTACCGAGGAGACTACGTGGCGCAGGTGACGCTGCTGTTACCTGTAGGCATCTGAAGCTCGTACGCCCTCGTCTGGCTCGGAAACGATCAAAAACCGCTCGCCGTTTCTTTGCAGTTGGACAGTGGGCAAGTGTGGAATTTTATCTTGGTACAGCATACACGATCGTTTTGCAACGTGGCATTGTTGTCGCTATTCTGAATTTAGTCGCTGTTCACGCGGAATACAGCTGGCAATTGTGGGGGGAATGCTGCCTACTGACGTGTAGTCTGCTTGCTAATGCCACTGTTTTTTTTTTCTTTCCACAACCCGTCACTTTTTACTGCTTTCACCTGCCTACTGTTGTTTTGTTTTCAACCCCGTCACATATTTACTGTACCCCCGATTTCTTCGTAATCGACTGCACCACTGCTCGAAAGAGGACGAAACAGATACACTCCCTCCTGCCCGTGAACAATGCGGAACATGCACCTCACAGCTGGCCACACTGGTCCCACGTGATTCACGCGACAACACAGCTGTGAAACAGCTGTCAGTTGGCAGCGATGCCAACTGATGTGCACTTGCCTGATAAGGAGGTTATTGGCTCCAGAATTTTTGCTTCTATTGCTCCCGCGCAACACTCCCAAGCCGTCGCTTACCCCGCCAGTGCTGCTGACAGCGTGGTATCGTGACACCACGCCTTCCCCATCCCTCCCCCCTCCCTCCCCCATCCCCCAACCATACTCATTTTCCGCGCGACCCTTCGCACGGAAAAGCTTCAGCAACCACTATGCGGTACACCTCACCCCGCCGGCTACTCCCCCCCTGCTCGACAGTCGAAATTCTCTGCGTGCCCCTGCAAGAACGACCCCCTCCTCCGAACTCTATCTCAATTTCATTTTCCCAACTCGTCTTTGTAGGCTCGTTTCACTAAGCTACCCTCCACTCCGCCTCTCTGCATCGATATCACGTCAGCAACAGGTATGTGACTTCTGTTTGCCCGTTTAGGGTAGCACATAACGCACGCTTATCGCACGCTGATTGTCCTTTTCCGTGTTTTTTTTTTATTGCCTGCGCTCTGGACTTTTGTACGTTGACACTAACTGCATGCTAATCCCCATTCATGCAGTGCACTAGGAAGACTGGAATCAGCGCGCACCCTTCAGTGAAAGTTGTCTGGCTGTTGTGTGTCTTTCCATTTTGGTTATTTTGTGATAGATGTTCGTATGCGCTTCCTTCTGATGTAATATTGACTATCAGTGAATCAAAAACTTTCATCATTTCTGAACTTCCGAGTCCTCCAGAGCATGCCACGATCTCAAACACATACAAGCCCTAACCGTTTCAGGATTCAAGCTGTGCCTGAAATCGGTAATCATTTGTCGGGCTAATGAAAACGAGCGCTCCGAGTCTGCAGAGGTTCCAGGCATTGCGAGATAGTCTCTCGCCATCTTGGCCACGATTGGGTAATACCTTTCGTGACTCACCCACCACTCCTTGAACGTGGCCATTTTTCCCGTAGGAACTTCAGGCCCTTCTTCAGCAAGATACTCCGCGAGCTGCTTGTCTGCTTTGTCTTTTCTCTTTGCACCAGCCTGTCGAAACAGCCCTCCCAGTATGGATGTCGGCTTCTTGTTGCTGGCTGTTGCTGCAGTGTGAGCTCCTGTCTTCTCCTTCGTTGCATCATACTTTTCCTTGTACTGCAGAAACGCCTTCGTGATGGTTCGGCGAACCGTGGCCTCATTGACGTGGCCCTTGTTCTGTGCCTCGGCGGTATAGTAGCTCAGGTTGAAACGTGGGTCCAGAATTGTTGCAATGTTGTACTCCTCCGACGTCTTGTTGTAGTATTTCTCCAGTTTCTCAAGTCCAGCTGCACAAGCATCACTGAAGTCATCTTCCCTTTCCACACCACGCTCAAGAATGTCCATGAGTTTATTCATGAGAGGGATGCAGAGAGAAACAGTTGCATATGATGATGCTTCCAAAATGGTAGTGATCTCATGCAATGGAGCCAGAATTGAGTGCACCTGGTCAAGAGATTCCCACTCTTCTTCCCTCATTCTTAGCTTCTCAAAAACCTCATCCGGCACCTCCTTCATGTACGCAGATATGGCGGGCTTCAAATCCCTGGCGCGGTCCACCATGGCGTAAGCGCTGCCCCATCTGGTTGGGGTATCTTGCTTAAGCGATCTTTTGTCCTTAATTTTTTTCTCCAGGCAGATGTTTGAGAACTTCTCCTTGCGCTGGGATGAGCCACCGAGGTAAACTGCAAGTCCCCGGGATTTTGCTAGCGCTCGATCAACACGAGGCGCCTTCAGAAAGCATTCTGCAGCGAGGTGCAGGACATGAGCAAAGCACATAAGGTGCCTGTCCTTGCAGAATCCTTTTTCCTCTGCAAGCAGCGACAGGAACTTCTCATTCGTAGAAGCATTGTCAACTGTGACCCCCATTACCTTGTCTTGCAATTCCCATTGTGTGTAAACAGAATCAATGAAGGCCTCCTTGATTGCCTCTCCGGTGTGTTGTCCTCCCAGACGCCGAAAATCTAACAAAATCGACTTACTTTCAAAGTTTTCGTCGATCCAGTGTGCAGTAATGGCCATGTAAGGATCCATGTTGGGTGCTGTCCACAGGTCACACGTAAAGGAGATTTTCGAAGACAAGGCACCAAGTCGCTTCTTTAGCTTTGCGCGGAGATCTTCGTAGGCTTTCATGATGTCAGTTGCGATAGTGACACGACAAGGGACTTTGACTTGTGGCTCCAGCCACTGCAAATAATTTTTCAATTCAGCGGACTCGATAAAGGAGAAAGAAATGACGCCCTTGGAGAAAATACGTACCAGTCGGCGACGATTTTCCGCATCCGAGTACGTGCCTCGTGAAATGCACTTTTCAATGCTCTGAAGGCCAGATGAAGATTCGTCAGGGTACAACTCAGCATGGCGAATAGGGTGTTGGGTTTTCAAATGATTCTTCATACCAGATGTAGTTGAACCCTTAGGAACTTTGAAGATTTGTCTTGTTGGACACAGAAGACATCGAGCCGTTTCACTACCTTCAGCTTCAAAAACTTGCCAGCAAGGAGCTGTCTTCGCCCTTTTTTTGGACTCTGGCGTTGGCCCGTCTTCATTGTTGGGAGCGGAGCAGGTTACGGATCGTACACGCTTATCTGACGGGACGGCGACCGATCCTTGCTCAGCAGGCGGATTTACTGCAGAAGCGTCGTCATGGATGTTAGACTGCATTGTTGCATCGACGGGCGCCATCGTAACTTGCGTCGTTTCAGGAATGTTAAGAGCGTCCAGCGTTTTCAGATTTGATAAACTCTGAGAACTCTGGATTCAAGTCTGAAGTTAAACTGTGTTTATAGTAAGTGGCGCAGAACATTAGCACTGAAAATTTCGAGGCGCGTGCACCTGCAACGCGGGGAATATTAAAAAAAAAAAACGGACACTTAAAGAATTCCGCGCCATTGACTCGGGAGACTTACCGTTTGTTTTTTCGAAGTAACCTCGCATGAAATTTGCGCGGTTGTCAGTCCGCGAAAGCACCCCTAGATATTTGCGCCAATGTTTCTCTTCGCTTAAGGCGAGAGTCGATTCTTCAATTGGCGCAACCACGTAACAGCGTCCAATTCGAATATAATTGCGTCATTTTTCAACGGCCCCCTACTCCCGTACTGTGAGGGAACTTCCGTAATTTTAGGGAGATAATGTTTCAAAAATTTGTGCGCGTTCTTGATTGAAATTTTTCACGTGCGACAACTACCCACGAGTCACGACCGGGTTCCGTGACAGTCTAGCGCTAAAATCGTTCTGACACGACCTTCCAAATCGTGCGATGTCCACATTCTCCCCCCCCCCCGTGCACTGTTGCTGGTGGCACGTCGGTTGGGGCCCCATCCCAGGAAGGCCCTCTGAGTCGCCGTCAACAACAGCCGCCGCATAGCAGGAAACCGCCAATTTTCGGCAGGGCGGCAAACGGCCAGAAAAACGCTAAAAATGTGTGGGTGCTGTTGCGCGGTTACCATGAATTTGTGATGTATAAATACACTGCATTAAAAAAGAAACTGTATAGTCTCTCAAACATTTCATGTCATATAATTAAAAAAACATACAACTGTACACATTTTATGATGTCTTTCATGATGTCGCAACTTATGTAAAAGACGGGTGATGCAGAAATTAACCGTCAAACTTGGCAGTATCACCGTTCCCTGCAAAAATCGATGTAAAATGCATGGTCAAGTATTGAGGGGCAATAATGTCCGAATAGCGAATAGTATCGAATACCCCGAATATATTTGACCCGGTATTCCTATTCTACGAATACCTCTGAAGCGAATATTGACGAATACTCCGTCGTATTCTATTCTTACGAATTGCGGTATTCGAAGCGAATATCGAATAGTTACCGAATACGAATATTCTTTTACAGGCTTAGAAGGACCTGATACTACCCCTCACTTTCTGGTTTTGGTCAGCCACTCACCCTGTGGTCACAGCGTCCCCTGCTTCGCAGCGATGGCCATTCCTCAGCACTGGCAGCTCAAACCAAAGCTTCTTGAGGGCTGGGCCTGCTGCCTTGTGGATGGCTGGAGGGCGGAGGGAGAGAGGAAAGAGAGGAGATCAGAGGGAGATGTAGGGAAGAGAGAAGAGAGAAGAGCGAAGAGAGAAGAGCGAAGAGAGAAGAGCAGGTTCTGGCAGAGCTTCAAGAGGTTTGGGGCTGTTGCCCTGTGGATGGCTTGATGGGGGAGGGGAGGGTAGGGAGGCGCGATAAGATGGAGAGCGAGCGGAAAGGATGGAGAATCCGAAACAGCGAGGGGGGGGAGGGGAGAGGCGAGCAAAAAAGGAGGGCTGTTCCAACTCCTCTTCCCCCCTTCTCCTCACGTCGCTCATCTCATCTCACCTGCATCCAAGCCACCCAGCCTGGAGCCCTCTCGTTTGTGGTATTAGCCTGCCAGCCACACGAGAAAGGATGAGGGGAGGTGAGAGGGAGGCCGTGGAACGTTCTTTCAGTCCACATGTAGTGAGAAGGCTTTGTCCGCATGTAGTGAGTCGAATTTTGAGTCGACTCAAAATTCGACGCATAGGGGTGAGAAGGCTTTGTCGGAAATTTGAAGAATGTGAGAAGATAGCAAAAAATACGGTCTCTCTCCTCAAACAGTCACCCCCCTACATCACACGCCTTGCAGTCAGCTTCACCCTTGTCCCACCCCTTACAGTCACACCCCTTACAGTCACACCTCTTAACAGTCACTCACAATGGCATCAGTCGCACCGTCCACACACCACTTGGTGATATCCCCCCGATGCACCACCAGCACTCGGCGGCAATCAGACGCACGAGCAGCACCGAGGGGAGGAGGAGGTGGGATTGCAAACGCAGCAGTGTCAGAAAAGAGTTTCCTCTGAGACTGGTGGACGGTGTATGAAGGGAGCGGCAGGTGGGGGATAGGAGCCCGGACCGCACTAACAGCAGCAGTTGCGGCAGCAGAGGCAGCAGGTGAAGGAGCAGCAGCTGAGACAGCTGGAGGAGATGAATCAGGTTGATTGGAAGCCATGGCGTCGGTCAGACACTTAGCGAGCGGGACACTTAGGGGTTGAGGCCGAGCGGGAGATCCGGTCGTAGCTTAGGATAAGCCGCTGCTCTGACACTTAGGTCGTCAGAGCAAAGTAGCTTCTCAACCGCTTAAATACGTCGGACTATCTCGTTCGGGTTGGAGTTCGACTCGCGGGACTGCTGCGGACCGCGGCGTGGCCATCCAGTCCAGTGTGGTTCGAAGCGCGCAGCCATGCAGTGCATTTTTAAGACTGTCGAGAGAATCGCTGCGCAGCCATGCAGTGCGCGGCGTTGCATATCCTTCCGCGGTTAGACGCATGCCTAAATTCCGAGGGAGAAATTCCCACCCCGAAAATATTTTTTTGTGCCGTGCATATGCCCGAACCGCGAAAGCAAGGCACCCGTATATTCGACGCCTTACGTTACGACGACGGGGACTGTGGTAGTATACGAGGCACGAGGCACGACGCATGGCGTTAAGACGCGGAGTGACGACACAAATGTCCATAACGTCTCCAGCCATTGATATGGAGCCTCGAGATGCGGTATGGGGGATGCAAGCGACCCGAGGAACGATGCATGCTGCCTCGACGGCCCTGTTTCACGACTCGCGATGGGTGACGGCGGACATTACTACTAGGCGCGAATACTAGTGACTAGTAAAGCGTGAATCCAGCCTTGCGGCGCGTTAAAGGCGTGGATGCTTTACAGCAGTGGACAAAGAAGGACGGTCAGTGTATTGGGCCACATAGAAAGTGGGATTTATTTTCCTAGTTTCCCTAATTCGTACTCGTTCTGGGAATGCCAGCGCTGGCAAATCGTTACATTGGTTGGCTACATTGTAAAACAAGTCACATTGCAGAGGAGGAAGTGGCAGTCCCAAGATCCAGCAAAAATAGTTTCATTTCTCAGGGATTATTTTTGCAAACAGCCGTTGACTACCTTTGCAACGGGATGAGAGGACACATGACATGAACAGCAGCAAAAAACCAGGGTAAAGTTACACCAAGTATTTACAACTTATTTACAAAGGTAGGGACTCCACAAAGGCAGCACTTACAGGCCTCAATACCCTCTCTACTTATTCTTCTTCCTGTTTTTCTTCTGTTTTTTCTGCTGATATTTCGACGGTTTTTCTTTTGGAGAAGATATCTTTCCCTCCTCATACCTCTCCTCTCCCTGCTCATCACATCCCTCCCCCACCTCTTCTCCAACTTCTCCTTCCTCCAGTTCCCCCTCCCTTCCCCTCTTCTCCACCCCTTGCTGCTGCTCCTCCAACTGCCCCCTTCCCTCTCCCTCACATGTGTGCATTTCCCAGCTCCCTCCATTTCCAGTATCCCCACTGGCAATTCCGATGTCCAGATTCTCTGAATCAGGAGAAGGGGCATCTCCCAAATCCAAATTCTCTGAATCAGGATAAGGGGCAGAGAGTGGGACTGATGCAGCAACCAGAGTCAGCTCCAGTGCAGAAGCAGAAGAATTTGCAGCAGCTGGAGCCGAGGATATTTTCCCAGCAGGAGAAGAAGATTGGCCAGCAGCAGGAGTGGCAGGTGCGGAACCAGGAACAGCAACAGTAGGAGCAGTATCGACAGATGCAGTGGCAGACGGAACAGCAAAAGCAGCAGCATCATCAGAAGCATTGGCTACTTTTGCCCCTTCTGGTTCTGATACGGGAACGGGTAGCAGGAATGCTGGTGCTGTTGGTGCTGGTGCTGGTGCTGGTGCTAGTGGTGCTGGTGGTGCTTCTGTTCCTGCTACTTCCCTGTATGATTCTGCTTTTGCTGATGCTGGTGGTGGCATAGCCGCTGGTGCCTCTGCTGCTGCATCTTTCACTCCTTGCACTAATACATCGCCACCCGTTGCTGCATCACTGCCAGCCATTGCTGCGTCACCACCAACCATTGCTGCGTCACCACCACCCGTTGCTGCATCACCACCAGCAGCTTTTCTTTTCCAATAACCAAAGCAGCCATCAGCACTACCAAAGCCACTGCTGCCAAAGACGCTACCAGCCAGATTACTCTTTCTCCAACCAAGGTCGTGCTCTCTGTGCCCTCTGCCCCAACCCATACCAGGAGTACGGCTGCTATCCCAGCCAGCAACAATGTTTCCACTCCAACCGTTGTTGCCTACATTAACCGAGGGAGGTGCAGCAGGAGAAGAAGCTTGAGCAGCAGGTGACGCTGTAGCTGTATCAGCCGGAGCAGCATTTGGATCTACAGCAGTAGAGGCAGCCTGAGCGAAAGATGGAGCAGCAGTCAAAGCAGCAGCAGGAGAAGAAGCTTGAGCAGCAGCCAGAGTGGAAGTAGGGGCGGCAGCCAAAGCTGCAGATGGAGTTGGAGCTACAGCTGTAGCTGTAGCAGTCGGAACAGCAGTATGGGCTACAACAGAAGTGGCATCTTGAGCAGCAGCCAGAGTGGAAGCTGGGGCGGCAGTTGAAGCAGCAGCAGGAGCTGTAGCAGTTGGAGCAACAGCCTCCGCTACAGCTCGAGCTGCAGCCGGAGTTGCAGCAGGCGTTTTAGTCACAGAGACAGCTGCAGGAGCAGCCGGAGAAGCAGCTGAAGCTACTGCAGGAGCAGCAGCTGGAGCAGTAGTAGGAGAAGCAGCCGCCAGAGCAATAGCCCGAGCAGCATCTGGAGCAGCCGCCAGCGCTACAACCGGAGGAACAGCCGGAGTTGCAGCTGCAGCTTCAGTCACAGGGGCAGCTGAAGGACCAGCCGGCGAAGCATATGGACAAGCAGGCGAAGCTACCGCAGGAGAAGCAGCAGGAGCAGCAGCAGGAGAGGCACCCGGAACAGCTGCCAAAGTAATAGCCCAAGCAACATCCGGAGCAGCAGCCGCCCAACTATCAAGGGACCTTCCACTTCCACCACCCACCTTCTCCGTCTTCCCACCAGTCAGCATCCATTCCTCTCCAACCCACGCCTTCCTGCTTCCTGGTCCATATGGCTTCTTGTCCTGTCTTCCCCGTGCCTCCCTGTCCTTTGTATCCCATACTATCATGTCCCCCCCCTCCTCCCCCTCTCCCTTCTCCTCCTCGGCCTCCAGATGCAGCAGATCTGCTACCGCGACTGAGTTGCTGTCTTTCATTACCACATCGCCGTTGCCGTCCCCCACAACATCCCCAGTGGCATCACCCATGCGGTTATCACCCATGTGGCTTCCCTTGTTGATACTGCCCTTATTATTATCAAACTCACTACTATCACCCTTCTTTCGTCACCACCAACTTCCTTCCCCTTTCGTTTCTCGCCTTCCATCCCCCCACCACTCCTCCCATTCGCTCCCCTTCCCAGCACTTGCCCATCCTTATCACTCGTCAGCGTGCTTAGATCAGGTTCAGAGGAACCAGGTGTAGGGGAAGTGGCAGGCGCAGGGGCAGTGGCAGGGGAAGGGACAGGGGCAGAGGCAGGGGCAGAGGAAGCGGCAGCAGAAGGGGCAAGGGAAGGAGCAGAGGCAGGCTGCTTCTGGCTCGAATCCGGCTTCTGTTTATTAGCCAGCTGTTGTGCCTGCTCCTGTTGCTGCTGCAGTGGCTTCTGAACCTGCATGTCCTGTTGCTGCTTCTGAGAGTGCTTCTGAGGCTGCTGCTGCTGCTGCTGCTGCTGCTGACATGCTGCCATGGATGATGGCCGTTCCTCTGCAATCGGCTGTTCTTGCTGCTGTGCCTCGTGCTGCTGCTGCAGTTGCAGCTCCTCCCGATGCTGCTGCACACGGTTTAGAAGAAGCTTTTTCTGCACATGCTGCAGCAGTGGTGCTTCCTTCGGGAACGACCCTTTCACTGCAAGCAGTTCTCCATGCAGCTGTCTCTGCTGGGATGCCTGTTGCCGTGACTTCTCAGAAAACTCCTGTTGCAGCTGCATTTGTGTCTGAAGCTGCGTCTGAGGCAGCTCCTGTGGCTGTTGCTGTGGCTGTGGTGCTTCCTTTGAGAAAGACCCTTTCATTGCAAGCAAATCTCCACGCTGCTGTGTCTGCGGGGGGAGATTCCAAGCCTGCTGCTTTGTTTGCTGCTGTGTCTGCTGGGGGGCCTTCCCAGTTTGCTGCTGTGTTTGCTGCTTCGTTTGTTGCTGTGCTTGCTCTCGCGTCTGCTGTTGCAGCTCCTGCTGTGAATGGTGACCTGTCTCCTTCGGAAGCCGCTGCACTCCCTGCTGCTGCACTCGCTGCTGTGGCGTTCCCTGCTGCATTTTCCTTTTCTCCTCCTGCTGTGCAGGCTGGTCTTGGGACATGTTCTCAGCGAGCAGCAAACTTATTCAGGCTTAAAGCAAAAGATAGACAGTAAAAACCCTTCTGTAAAACTTAGATCTCAACAATCCGAGCTCAAGAACTTCAGCAGTAGAGTAAAACAAACATGTTTCGGCCGTTAAGGGGCTACCCTAGCAGGCCTTCATCAGTGCTAATGAAAGAAACAGAGCTAAGCTACGCTTCAAGAAGAAACGAAGCCTCAGAAAAACTGATCTCTAGGTTATCTACACCAGGTCAGCCCGAAATACGGGGACCAGTACATGTCACCCTTGAAAATTTCTCAGGTGGCCACGTCCTCAATCCTTGGAGCGTCGTCGTTGAAGTTCGAATTCGCATCCTCGCCAGGCAGCAACTGTGGAAGTCGCGCGCGTACCAGTAACCTGTTAAGGTTACAACCAATTTGCCATGCAACAAAAATCCTCTCCACATATAATCCGCGTGTAGTGAGTCGATTTTTGAGTCGACTCAAAAATCCACTCGCTGCTGTGGCGTTCCCTGCTGCATTTTCCTTTTCTCCTCCTGCTGTGCAGGCCGTGCTGCTTCTCCTCCTACCTCTGCCGCTTGAAGTTTCGCCTTCTTCCCCGACCCCTCTTTCACCTCCCCTTTCACCATCTGCTTCGTCTGCTGTTGTGCTGATTCATTTCGCGATTGCTGCGGCAGCAGCGGTGGTGATCGTTGTAGCTTCAGCTGTGGCAGGTTGGCAGTGCGGATAGCAGCCAGCCAGTCGTTCAGCATCTTATTGTCGAACAGGACAAAGTGCACCTGTGGTGGGGGCAGAGCACGAGAGAGAAGAGAGGGAATAGTGGGATCATGAGGGGCAAGCAACCACTAGCAATCATCCATGTAAGTTTGGCAGCATTGAACAGGACAAAGTTCACTCGTGGAGGGAGGGACAATGCACGGAAGTTCGTAGAGTCCCACAATGCTTTGTATAGATGGGTGCAGAACGCTCAATGAGCATGGGTGAATGTGAACACTGAAGAGAAGGTGTGAACGAGCATGGGTGAACTGTGGCTGTCAGCTGAATGCACAACGATATTAGAATGAAACCTGACATTTGAAGTGCAACTGAGCGGGGAAAAAACAAGCACAAAGCATGGATGTGTTACAAGCAGGGAGGCATTATCTATCGCACCGAACCCCAGGGTTTGGGTTGGGTTTGCGTACCTCTTGCACCGACCCCCACGGTTCTCTAAGCAAAACTTCTAGAGCATCCTTAGCGCCCTTCACAGGGGGATACCTGATGAGAGCAGCAAGAGGAAGAACGTGGAGAAGAAAAAAAGAAAGCAATTAAATCGGCTAAGGCACTCCAAAAAAGGTAGTTAAGTGAGAGAAAATCAAAATAAAACTTGAGCAGGTTGAGGAGATGGAGTGTACCTGAAAATTCCGCATGATATTGCGGGGATGGCAATGTATTTGGCGGAACATTTGTTGGCCTCTCTTAGAATGCTCCTGTGGAAGGTTGGGAAGGGATACAAGAGTGGGCCGGTGGGAGAGTGTGTAGGTACGTGGGAGGGAAGGTGGGCGGGCGGGAGGGTGCGTCCGATTTGAACGAACTAGGGCGGCACAGCCGAGCACAGTGCGCAATCGCATGAAGCCTGGAAGGATCACCTAGCGTCTACAATTGCGCATCTGAGAATTCTGGAAAGCGTGTCTGAACGAATTAGGAGCAGCACAGCAGAGCACAGCACACAGCACACACACACCTGAATGGCGCTTTCAGCACAGATGCCAGCCAACTCCCTACCTGGGCCCCACCTCATGGATCACCCAGCATCTATCATTGCGGCACAGCACAGCACAGCAGACACACCTGTAGGCTGCTTTCAGCACGGGTGCTGACACTTTGTCGGTCCGGTAGCTGGGCCCCACCACATGGATCACCCAGCTTATCTACCATAAAGGCACCGCTAAAACAGGGGCAGCACCGCACAGCAAAGCACAGCACGCACAGCAGACACACCTGTAGGCTGCTTTCAGCACGGGCGTTGACACTTGGTCAGACCGGTATCTGGGCCCCACCGCATGGATCACCCAGCGCACTGGCAGCATCGCAGCACTGCAGAGAGGAAACATGGCGAGAGAGGAGAGAAGTGGAGAGTACGAGAGAGTGAGGTTGCACAGAAACAAGTTCTTTTCAAGAAGGTGCCTGGGCCCCTCCGCATAAATCACCCAGCGCACTGGCAGCCTGGCAGCGCTGGAGTGTGAAGGGAGCATGCGGTGGGTGCGAGAGTGGAGATTTCCGGCAGATTCTGAAATAAACATGTAAACAGTACGTCACTTTGCGTGAAGAAATCTAAAATTTAACAAAAACGATATGGAATTTCAGGCAGGCAGTTGCTCTGTGAAAGTGGGCTAAACTCACCCTGTTGTCACTGCCCCACCTGTTTCGCAGCGATCGCCATTCCTCAGCACGGGCAGATCGTAGCAGAGCTTCAGGAGGTTTGGGCCTGCTGCATCGTGAATGGCTGGAGGGTCGAGGGCAAAGAGAGAAGAGGGGAGCAATGGGAGAGTGGAAGAGAGAAAGATGGGGGGGAGAGATGAGAAGACAGGTCGTTGTCGAGCCTACCAGGTTTGGGCCTGTTGCCCTGTGAGGAGTGAGAGGGAGGGGAGACGATAGGGAGATGAGAGGGAGATGAGAGGGAGATGAGAGGGAGAAGATATAATCGAGAAATTCGGCACAGAAAGACGGCACGGAACATATCTGCTATTATAACAGAAGTTAGTGGCACATATAATCGCTCAAACCACTTCCAGAACTGATTTTGACCCAAAAGCTAGTGCGAAACAGAACAGATTGTGGCACGGCACACATAATGAGGTGTATTTTGAGGCGCCTCAAAATACACCTAAAAAGCTAGTGCAACACAGAACAGATTGTGGCACGGCACATATAATCGCTCTAGCCATTTCCCCCTGATCAACGTTCCCCAAACTCAGACGCCGCTCACCTCCATCCACCCCGCCCCCACCAAGAACCGTCTCGTTTGCAGCATTGACCTGGAAGGGGGCACACAGGGAACACGGAGGAACAGGCGGTAACACACTGAGGAACAGAAGGTCACACACAGGAAGGAATGGGAGGGGCCACACAGGAAGGAAAGAGACAAGTCAGGTCAGGAAAAAACAAATAGCCTTTTGGAGAAAAAAAAAAAAATCCTTAGAATCACACTTACAATGGCATCGGTCGCACCATCGACAAACCACTTGGTGATATCCCCCCGATGCACCACCAGCACTCGGCAACCAGGCGCACGAGCAGAGGGCGTGTGAGTGCTTGCAGAGTGAGAAAGAGCAGGAGCCTTGCTGCTTGCATTCACATGAGCGGGAGGAGGAAAGACTGCAAAGGCAGCCGTGTCAGAGAAGAGATTCGCTTGTGACTGGTGTATGGTGTATGGGGGGAGGGGCAGGTGGGGTTGAGGAGCTGGGAGTGCAGTGACAGTAGCTGCTGCTGCAGCAGAGGCAGCAGCAGGAGGGGCAGAGGGAGCAGGAGAAGGAGCGGTGGTGGGAGCAGGAGCAGCAGGTGCAGAGGGAGTAGGAGGAGCATGAGGGGGAAAGACGTCCAATTGAATTAAATCAGCACTGGGGGAGGCACGGGCGTGAGGGTGCAGTGGTGGCGACACGAGGGGTGGTGATGACATAATGATGCGGTCATGCTCTCTCTCTGTCTCGTTCTCATGCCTCACGTGCTGCTGCTGCTGCTGTTGCTGAAACTGTTGTTGCAACTGCTGCTCGTGCTGACACCACTGCTGGTAATGCTGCTGCTGCAGCAGCTGCTGCTGTTGCCACTGCTCGTAAGTCTGCTGCTGCTGCTGCTGCTGCTGCTGCTGCTGCAGCTGCTGCTGATGATGATGATACTGCCACTGCTGATGCTGTAGAAACTGGTACTCCTGCTGGTCCTGTGGCTGATACTGCTGGTACAGCTGATACCCCTGCCACTGTCCGTGATTATCCTGCCACTGCTGCTGTGGCTGCTGCTGCTGCTGCTGCTGCTGCTGCTGCTGCTGCGACCAGCGCTGATGCTGCTGCTGCTGCCACTGCGCGAGGGCCAGTTGCTCTTGCTGCTCTCGCTCCCACTCCACATCATCCCTTTCCACTCCCACTCCCCTGCCCACTCCCCTCTCCGCACCCTTCCTCTTCCTCCTCTTCTTTCCCCCTTCCTCTCCACGCACCCCTACCACATCATCCATCTCCATATCATCCCTGTCGCTCCCTCCCTCATTTCCCTCACCCCGGGGCATGAGACGCACGAGACTCAGAGCCTTATTACTTGCTCCAACAACACGCCCATAGAAGCAAAGCAGAGCCCACCAACAAGCTCCCAACACGCCCCCAATCCCCCCACGCTCCCATTGCACTTCCCCACCACCCCCCTCTCCTCCTTCCACATCCATTGCTCCCTCTGCAGTCCGACGCTCCTCCAACCCACGGGGAAGCAGTGGTTGATATTCCTCAAGTTCCTGACTCTCCTGTGGGGGAGACATCTGGCGTTCCTCATCATCCTCTCGAGGCAAGGCCGGACGTTTGTCCCTCCCTCCTCCTCCTCCTCCTCCTCCTCCTCCTCCTCCTCCTCCTCCTCCTCCTCCTCCTCCTCCTCCTCCTCCTCCTCCTCCTCCTCCTCCTCCTCCTCCTCCTCCTCCTCCTCCTCCTCCTCCTCCTCCTCCTCCTCCTCCTCCTCCTCCTCCTCCTCCTCGGCTACTTGCTCCCTCTCTGGTCCGACGCTCCTTGGACCCACAGGGAAGCAGTGGTTGGGATTCCTCAAGTTCCTGAACCCCCTGTGGGGAAGACATCTGGCGTTCCTCATCGTTGTCTTGTGGTAAGGCCAGACGTTTACCCCTCCCTCCTCTGGTCCGACGCTCCTGGAACCCATGGGGAAGCAGTGGTTGGTAGGATTCCTCAAGTTCCTGAACCCCCTGTGAGAGAAACATCTGGGATTCCTCGTCGCCCTCTTGAGGCGTCTGGGTCACCCGGGCAGGATGAAACTCCTTAAATTTCTGCCCAGGTGGTTCCCCAGGTGCCACGTCAGGTGCATCACGCGGATGGAGAAAGTAAGGCGAGTGAGGATGAGAAGAGGCACGGTGGAGCTGGTAGTAAGGAGCGCTAGCAGCAAGAGAATGCTCCCCTAGGCCTCGACTCATTGCTGTAGTTCCCCTGCTCATCCCTGCTATGCCCCTATATATCCCTGTGCCTCTTATGGGTCCATTGAAGCTTGCGTTCTTCATCGGTGGTCGCCATATTGCTGGTGCTGCTGATGCTGGTGCTGTTGCTCCAGGTGCTCTTGTTCCTGCTGATGCTGCTCCTGCTGCTCGTGCTCCAGCTACTGCTGTAGTTGCTGTTGGCACTGCCGCTGCTGGTGCCCCAACGTCCCAACGCCGTTCCCGCCTCATCCTTCCGGAGTCTTTCCCCTCTCGAGCCTTCATCTCTCCATCCTCACCCCACTCTCCTTCCCCACCCATAGCAGCAAATTCCCTCGCTTCCTTACCCTCCCTCTTTCGTTTCATCTCCTCCTCCACACCTCCCCCTCTGACAAAACCCTCCCCTGAAGCAGGAGAATCCAGAGGGGGATATCCTTTAATCTGCAACCCTTTTTCGGTGTGGGGGCTCCCCTCAGACTTATTGTCTTCTTCAACCTCCAACCGTTCTTCAACCTCCCTTTTGCCTGTAATCCCTGTGCGCTCTCCTTTTGCCTGCAAGCCTTCTTCAGTGTAGTGGTGGCCTTCACGCCCTTCAGCCTGTCTCTCTGCTTTGCGTTCTTCAACCTCCCTTTCACCTGTAATCCCTGTGCGCTCCCCTTTGGCCTGCAAGCCTTCCTCGGAGTGAGTGCGCACTTCAGTCTTATCGTATTCCTCAATCCCTGTGCGTTCTTCAACCTCCCAAGTATCCTCTCCTTCGTTCCCTTCACCAAAACTCTCAGCAAGAATCGCAGCAAATCGTGCTGCTACTCTCTCTGCCTTCCCTGCAGCAACTTTTGACTCGATCCCTGCCTTCCCTGAAGCTTCCGCGGCAGCAGCTGCCTCCGCAGCAGCGACTGTAGCTTCCGCCTGGGCGGCTGCCGCCCTGCCAGAAGCAGATGCTGTCAAACGCTGCAATTCAGACGCGGTTTTGACTGCTTCTGCTGCCTCTGCAGCGGCTGCTGCTGCCTCTCGGCGCAGAGAAACGAGGATGGGGTATGCAGCTTCTGTGGGCTCTACTCGCTCAAAGAGAGTGGCACGAGAGGGAGGAGCAAAGGCAGGAGGAGGCGCAGGAGGGGGAGGTGGAAGAGGGTAGTTGAACGGAGTAGCAGGGAGGGAAGGTGGCAAAAAGGGATTGAGAGAAGAATACGGAGGAGGATAGAGATGAGGGTATGGATGGAAGGTCTGTCCGAAGAGGGGGGGAGGGTGAGGAGGAGGTGGAGCGGGAGGGGGAGGATAAGCGGATGGACCAGGAACAGAGGGGGAGGGAGAAACGGAAGTCGAGTTTTGAGGTGCCTCAAAAATAGGGGCGAGAGGGGGAGGATTAGCGGATGGACCAGGAACAGGCGGGGAGGGAGGATATGGAGGAGGATAGAGATGAGGGTACGGAGAGAAGGTCGGCCCGAACAGAGGGGGTGGATGGGCAGGAGGAGCAGCAGGGGGAGGAGGAGGATAAGCGGATGAACCAGGAAAATAGTGGGAGGGAGGACCGGAGGTCAAGTCCTCAGAGCTGCTGCTGCTGCTGCTGCTGCTGCTGCTGAGTGAAGTCCGGCAGTCAAAAAACCTGTCGGAACTGTCTTCAGAGAGGGACTCGCCCAGAGAAGCAGCAGCCTTGCCGTGAGCAACGGGAGAAGCAGCCTTGCCGCGAGGAAGCGTTTCTGCTGGAGGATACAAATCAGGATCCATGCCGTAAGACGCTCAAGGATTGAGCTTCTGGCCGAGCGAGAAATACCTGTCGCAGAAGCACAATACCTCGTCCGCACGGAGGTGCGCGGGGGTGCGCGCACGGAGGCCATTGGCTGATAACAATTCTCAGACGGGGAAACTCCGCGGAGTTGCGCGCATGCGCTGTGACTCGCGCGCGAGTATTGTTGAGAATCACCCGTTGGGTTTGGGAATTGTGCATTTACTTTTTTCCCAAACCAAGGAACACTCAATAGCAGCTTCCAAGGGAGAAGCCCAAGGAATTTCCCGAGGTCTTTCCGCGCGCCTCCGCGACGGTCCCTCCGAGAGTCTCCCCTCGGGCGATTGACAGCCGGTGATGCAGGATGGAAGCATCTCGAAATTCCGAGGGAGGTGCAATTGTTTCCGAGGGTTTCATGCATAACCTTTCGCGGTTCGGATCTCTATGCATCGCGGCGGAACCCATGCATGTAGTCTTGGGACATCCGCGTGTAGTGAGTCGATTTTTGAGTCGACTCAAAAATAGTCTTGGGACATGTTCTCAGCGGCGGAAAAATCGGCGGAACCCATGCATGTACATCGTTTCGCGGTTTGGGTCTCTGCTATGGCGGGACCGATGCATGGATATCCTTTCGCGGCTCGCCGAACTCGGGTCGCGGGGAGTCTCAGTTTCGACAAGCCGCAGAGCTTGCTGCATAGAAATGACGCGTAGTAGGGCGTGTGAAGGGCGTGAGTAAGGGCGTGGGGAAGAGGTTGGGAACAGAAGCGAGAAGCGCCATGGCGGGCTGGCCGTGGTAACCGCTTATCCCCTAGGTGGATGCGCTAGAAGCGCCATGGCGGGCTGGTGGTAGTAAGGAGGTAAGGCGCGCCGCTTGCTGCATAGTAAGACGCGTGGAAGGTGGATCGGCGGGATGCGCGAGAAGTGCCATGGCGGGCTGGTCGTAGTAAGGCGGGGAGGGGGGAGCTAGCTGGCGGACCGAAGCGCACGAGGCACGAGGAACGATGCATTACGTAAAGATGCGGCTTGTGGTATACGAGGCACGAGGCACGACGCATGACGTTAAGATGCGGATTTTGGTATGGAGGATGAGCGCGACACGAGGCACGACGCATGCTGCCTTGATGGGCATGTTTCAAGATTGGCGATGGGGTGATGGCGGACGGGTAAGGAAAATGAGAAATTCGAGGTACGCCGAGCCACATCAGAAACAAATAATAGGAGCTCCCAAGGAAAGCGCATTTTGGAATGTCAGAGGATCAAGGGGAGGAGGAGAAGGATGTGATGCGAATTTTAGGGGCACAAGGGAGGTGCTGGATGAACCACTTTTCGTGTTTCCCTGTACTTTTACAGGCTGGTTGCCTCTGACAAATAAAAAGTGTTGATAGGAAGCAAGGTTGAGGTGTCGTAATAAAGCAGATCAGCTTCATCCACCAATTAGGGACGGGGTACAAGATACAGAAACACGGAATTGTTAGTCCCAGCTCAGAAATCCTGGGAAAACAGGGGGTTAAAAACCTGTCATCCAGCCCAGACTACCTTCCCAACGGGCATAAATTCCGCGCTTCTCAATCGTAGTCGCAACAGCGCCTCGAACCTCGGGCTCTTTGCCTTCGCTTTCTCGGCTCCCGTCGAAAGAAGCTAGACGCACGAGCACTCTGAGCAACAGCGTGAGAAGCGCTCTTGAATCGCATTGCCAACGGTAACTCTGCGCCGACACCATGTGCATCACGTTTCGTCCCTGCTCGGAGCCCGACCTTCCCGGCATCTACTGGCGCGACGACGACCAATGGCGGCCCTACGACCGCGCCACGTCGCGCGCAATTCTCAAGGCGGCCTCGCTGGGGCTTAGAAACGTGAGCCTGGGAATTTTCACGTCGAATGCCTACCCCAGCGGCGCGACTTACACGCTGGACCTCCAGAGCCTGCAGCAGAGGAACACGGGAAGCGGACAGGAGCGGCCCGTTCTGATCATCCCAAGGCTGACGCTTACGGAGCTGAGCGCGGCTGTGGTAACGCCTTCAGTGGTAAGATCTTTTCAGACGCTGAAAATACTCGTCACTCATCCACCTTCCGTCTGTCCATTTTTTTTTCCTAGACGGGAGAACGTTATAAATCTGGAAACTGATATCAGAACTCGAATCGTTTCATGACAGGTATGGAACCAGATCATCAATGCGTTCACCACAGAGGCGTACGTGCAGCATGTTGTGACGCAGCGAGCATCGAAGTGCAACTCCGTCGTTCTGCATGTTCGCCGAAACCCGTACCTCACTCCGGGTTCGCCGTTAATCACGCGATTCCTTGCCGCTGCACAGAATCTACCAGCTGATGCTGCTCTCGGTATGGTTTCCGCTATTTCTCCGAGAACTTCCAAGTCTGATGCTTCTTTCTGCATGCTATCTGTTGCACTTCTGGTGTTGTCTTTATATCGTGGGCCCATATTCCTTCAGCCTTCGTTTGATAGTTCCTTCCCTTCTACTTTCAAGGGGTGTCTTCCTCTTTCCCTGAATTTCCTAACCTGTTGAATGAAACTCTTCAGTCAAGGGTCTGACGTACATGGACACAGCGGAAGCAGGAAATCTCGACCTCGCGTTTCACGGGACCCGCTCGAGCGCCTTCGACCCTATTCTGAGGGACGGAATGTGCCCTACTCACCGCAAAAGCTGTCCCCTGGGAGACTGGTTCACGCGGCAAGTGGCGTCTGCGGCACAGTACTCTCAGCAAAGGGAAGGTAGCCGCGGGTATGGCGGGAAAAAGCTTATTGCTTTTTTGCTGCTTGTGGAGAAGAAGGCGGTGGTGCGGGAGAATGGCGATGTGATTGTAATGAGTGACGCAAACCACCAGCTTCCTGTCGCGGAAGTGACAGTGCAGTGAGCGTGTGCAAATTTTCCTGATGCGCCTCGGGACAAAGTTTCCTGCTCTCGGTTGAAGCTAGTCGTGTACATACAAATCATACACCTTGTACAAACAATGTGTAATGAAACATCCGCACATTGCTTGTAGGCTGTCTGTCACACTCATATTGCTTGTAGGTGTTGTCATAATCTCAGATGGATGAATACTGGATGGTGTGATATTCAGGTTCACCTTCTGTATCCATGTATTCTGCTGGGAAATATGATTTGAGAAACAGAAATTTGTAGTATGTGTTCTCCTTGGAAAAACGGGCTATTAGTTTATATTTCTCCCCAAAATACATGAGCCTATTGTCACCACTTCTCCAAATATCATTTGCATATTGCACATTGTACAAGTATCTGAAAATTTCATTATATTCTCTATCCATTCTATATGTACAAAATGTACAATGCAGCTTAAACCTTCCTACGCTTTTTGGGATCCGCGCGTCGTAACCGCGCTGTCACTTCCGCACATCCTTACTGCGGTGTCACTTCAGCGTACCCTTACTGCCCTCTCAATTTCGCGCGTACTGCACTGTCACTTTCGCGCCCTTCTACTCCACTGTCACTTCCGCGACAGGAAGCTCGTACCTCGCATCATTCAATACAATCACATCGTCGCTCTCCCTGACTACCGCTTCCTTCACGACAAGCAGAAAAAACGCGATTACCTTTCTCCCTCCATACCCACGACTTTCCCTTGACCGCGAGTAATGCGCAGCAGACGCTACTTCCCGCGTGAACCAGTCTCCCAGTGGACTGCTTTCGCGGCGGTATGGGCACATCCCGTTTCGCAGAATAGGCTCGAGGCTGCTAGACCGAGTGCCATGAAACGCAAGGTCCAGTTTTCTTTTTCTCTTGCTGTCCATGTACGTCAGACCGTCAGCTGAAGGGTTCCAGAGGGCAGGGAGTTACATACATGGAGGAAAGATGTAGAAAACGGCTTCCAAAGTAAACGAAGTAGAACGAAGTTGTTGTAACATCTGTGATGGTATAACGCAGCACACGAGAGAAGGAGCGGAGCATACCGAGAGCAGCATCAACTGGCAGATTCTGTGCAGCGGCAACGAATTGCGTGATTAGCGGCGACCCCGGCGTGAGGTATGGGTTTCGGCGAACATCCAGCACGACGGAGTTGCACTTCGACGCTCGTTTTGTCACGACATGCTCCACGTATGCCTCTGTCGTGAACGCATCAGTAATTCGCTTCCACATTTTTTTTGAAAAGTACCCAGCAGGGGTGGATGCAGCCATGGATAGTTGCGTAAGCCTCAACTTCGGGATGACCAGAATCGGCCGCTCCTGCCCGCTTTCGGTGTTCTGCTGCTGCAGGCTCTGTAAGTCGAGCGTGTATTCCGCGCCGTCGGGGTAAACACTCGACGTGAAAGTTCCCACGTACACGCTGCTTGGACCCATCGAGGCCGCCTTGAGAATTGCGCGGGTCGTGGCGCGGTTGTAGCGCCGCCATTGGTCGTCGTCGCGCCAGTAGATGCCGGGAAGGTCGGGCTTCAAGCAGGGACGAAACTCGATGCACATGATGGTGTGGCTCCGAGTTACCGTTGCAAGGAAAGAGCGCTTCTCACGCTGCTGCTCACAGTGCTCGTGTTTCTCGTGCTCTCGACGAATGCCGAGGGAGATGGTAGGGAGCCCCACTTGTTCGACGCGCTGGGAAATACGCAGCGCGAAACTTATGCCGGTTAGCAGGGTTATCTGTGGCTGAACAAAGGATTTGAACCAGTTAGCAGGGTTACCAGCACTGCTGAAGTATGGAGTAATCAGTCTGTATATTCTGCAGGTTTACCCTGGGAATATGAAATGCATGTGCTGCCAGGTATGCTTTCCAGGCTGGAGCTGGTCTGCTTTATTATCTTCTCCCGAATCTTGAAAATTTATTCCAACTTAGGTTTGGCTGACATCCCTCTTAGTAGGATGATTCATTATAGAGTTTTGGCTAATCGGACCGCCCATGTGCCCCCCCACCCTCAATTTCTCTGGCCCTCATAGTGTCCTGACTCCTGCATCATCCATCGCGAATCGTGAAATATCACCATCAGGCCGCATGCGTCGTGCCTCGTGTCGCCGCGTGCAACTCGAAATCGAAT